ATGAACACGGTGGTGGGCACCCAGCAGGTCACCAACGTCTCCAGCATCCCACCCCTGAGTGACAAACTGGTAATTCCTGTCCCCCAGGTCAAGGGTGAAACCTGGGCCACCAGCACGAGTGAGCACTGAGCTGCACCCCAGAGCTCTGCTCAGCCCAACATCTCGTGGCCAGGGCGGCCCCAAAGGCATCAGCAAGTGGGAAATCCCCCCAAAAACCAGGGGGATTGAAGGAGTGCTTGAGCTGCACGTAAATGATGTTTTCTTTTTATCTGTTACAGGTGAATTTTACTGTGAAGGCAGAGCTGGGTGAAGCCTTCTCCTACGTGTAGTAAGGATTTGCTACTCCTTGTATGGGGTTGAAGGTGCCTTTATTACAGTTTGCAAAGTAACCTGGGGTTTGAAAAGGACCCAGTTTTTCTACTGACTTCCTGGAAAGCAGCTTTTTGCTAAAAAAAAAAAAAAATCACTTGAAATGCCCCTTGTCAGGATGTTGTGATGTGGTTTTGAGTCAACACCAATGGAAAATTATTGTGATAATAATAACTGTAAATATAATTATAAAAAATAGTTATAACTCATTATTGGCTGCTGAGAAACCCACTGCTGACCCACTTCTTTGATCTCTTCCAGTTCCTTCTGCACATACCCCAAGGTGAAGGTCCATAACATCGTGGTCTTCATGAGGTAGGTGGTTCTCTGCTCTCCCCCTGCTTGGAGCTCTCTTCCCAACCTTCCTGGCTCCTGAACTCCGAAGGGAACTGCTGCCACAGCAGGTCTGGGGTGCAAAGAGAAAATCCTGCTTGGCAAACACCCCAGCCTTGCCTCAGTTAATCCAGGCCAGTTGACACAGTGGGTGAAATGTGGGATAGGGAAGACAATTCCCTCCGTGTGCCGAGCTCTCCTGCGCTCCAGAGGCTGCACTTCCAGCCCCGCATATCCCTGCCTGCCACAGCCAGGAAAACCTTGAGGGGCTCTGCAGTTTTTTTTTTTCAGGGGGAGGAGAGGGGAAAGAGGAGTTGTTGTGATGAGTTTAAACCTGCTCTGAACTGCTCTTGCCCCTGCCAGGAGCTCGGTGAAGTTCTCCTACGTGGGCCACACGACCCAGAGCTCCGTGGAGCGGTACCGGTACGTGGATTGCAGCTCCAACTCCACGGACCCTCTGGCACCTGGGGCAGCCTGAAGGCACAGCTGGGACTTCTAGAAGGGCACAGGCACTTTGAACTGGCAGCAGTGGCCCTGGTGGGAGGCACTTGGAAGCTCTGGGTGCCTTTTGAGCCCTTCCACGTGCCCACGAAACCCTCCGGGTGCGGGGAACGGGTCCCTCCACGAAGCCTCCCCTTTGCTTCTGGAGAAACAGCTTTTTTTTGGGTAGGGAAACTGGACTTCAGGGAAACTTCAGGCTCTGAAATCCCGAAGATTTCGAGTGTCTTGCACCTGTTTGGAAGCTTGGCACTGCTGGGTGTTCCAGGTCCTCTTGCAGTGGGTTTATTGCCTTCCTTGCTCAGTGGCAGCGTGTCACTGGGGTGTGTGGGAGCAGGCCTGGATGCCAAGGGACACTTCTCACTTGGGGACGTGCAGGGGAAGCTTCTGCCTCTACCACGGGCACTAAAAGGAGGCAAAGGAATCAAAACCTTTGGAGCCACGGTGGTTTTGGTTTACTGGCAGCTGATAAACCCCGGAGCACCGCCTGCCTTTGTGAGGGTCTGTGTTGGACTCGCCTCCTCCTCCTCCTCCTCCGATCCTTCCTCCCCCACCCTGCTGGTGTTTGAAACCAGGGCATGTGCAGCTCGGTGCGTTGCTTTGTACTTGTGCTCCACCGCAGGCAAACAGGGATTTAAACCGATTTTTGTGGGAGTCTGGGCTTCCGAGGGTTCCCTGCCGGGAGCGGCGCATTCCTGGCGGTCGCTATCAGCTGCCTCCCGAGAGCAAATCGATGTGGCAGCTCTGCCCCCGCAGCCCGGCCGGGGACTCGCAGCCCGGAGAGTTTCGTCCCTCGGGAGTTTTCGCTGGAATTCGATCGCCGGGAGCTGCCCCCGTTCGTGCCCTGCCCCTTTGTCTGCCCGCCCGGGGGGTGTGGGAGCAGATCAGGCCCCTTTTCAGAGAGGGATGCTCGATTTTTGTGTGACTGGGACATGAAAACACACCTTGCATTCTTCTTTAAGCAGTGAGATCTCTGCCTAGTGGAGCTGAATTGTGCTGATTAAACCTGAGTTGGATGTTACCCTGTGCTGTCCTTTGTTTGAGGAGAAGGTCTGGCTTTGTCCCAGAGCTGTGACTGCTCTCTTGTTGTCTTTTTGCCCAGAAATACCTGTTCTTTCACTGGTTTTTTTTTTCACAGAATCCCAGAATGGCCTGGGTGAGGAGGGAGCTTAAAGCTCATCTTGATTTCCACCCCCTGCCATGGGCAGGGACACCTCCCACTATCCCAGGTGGCTCCAACCCGGCCTTGGACACTTCCAGGGATGGGGCACCCTCTGGGAAACCCATCCCAGGGCCTCCCCACCCTCCCAGGGAGGAATTCCTTCTCAATATCCCACCTAAATCTCCCCTTTTCCGGTATGAAGCCATTCCCTGTGTCTGTCCCTCCATCCCTTGTCCCAAATCCCTCTCCAGCTCTCCTGGAACCCCTTTAGGCTCTGGAAGGGGCTCCAAGCTCTCCTGGAGCCTTTTCCTCTCCGGGCTGAACAACCCCAATTCTCCCAGCCTCTCCTCACACCAGAGCTACTCCATCCCTCTGACCACCTTTGTGGACTCTCTGGGGATGAGCCCAAGGTTTTGGGGTAATGGAGGTGAAGAAACTCAACCAGGGAGACACAAAGCCACCCACCCATTCCCAGCCGGAATTGTGGCCCCACCCTCCCTCTGTGGTGACCTCGCCCACGAGCTTCCCCCTCCCGCCCAAATTCTGGAAACCCCTCGATTTGTGATGAGTTGTTTTATTTTGTGAGGAAAATGAAGGAATCACAAGCTTTGCCTTTTATCCATCTCATTCCCCCCTGCTCCTGGAAGCCTGGCTGGGCTCAGTCCTGCCTCGCTTGGGGTCCCCTTGCTTTTCCCACCTTCCTCCCTCTTCAGCCACAGCCCAAACCCCACCTTCTCCTGCTCCTCATGCCCACATCCTACAAGCAGCCTGGGTGATTTTGGGGCTGCCCCTCCCCAGCAGGACCCCCAAACTTGCTGCTTGGCTGAGCAGGAGAAAGGTTTGACCCCGAATTAGTCGGGTGAGGGCCGGCAGCCAGAGCTCCCATCATTAGGGGAGCCCCTCCTGGGTCATGTGGCGAAGCACTTGGCCTTTTAAAGGGCCATTTTATTTTGAAAATCCTCCTTAATCCTCCAATCCCCCTTAATGAATTTCCCCTGCCAACGTTTTTGAAGGATCCCAGCCCTGCGGAAGCTGCCTCAGGTGCTTTGGGAGCAGCGGTGGCCGCTCCCGGCTGGGTTGTGTTTCAAACCCAGATCAGGGCCCCGAAATGGGAGCTTTTTTTCTTTTTTTAAATCCTTTTGAAGTCGTAATTTCTCTAAATGAAATCCTCGCAGCTCCCACATGCCACCAACGGAAACACACACACACACACAAAAAAAAAAAAAAAGCTGAGTTTTTAACCAAAAGGACCCGTCGTGAAACTCCTGAACTTCCCCGGTCCGGAGCTGCCCCTTCCGTCCTGCAGGTTTGTAACTCTTCGGGGTCGCTGGGCTGACTTTCCTCCAAGACAGCTAAAAAAACCCCCCTTCCACTTCTGAGACTTTTCCTCCTAATTAACAGCCTGATCAGGAGAGGGATTTACAGAGGTGACTTTTTATGAAGCCCTAAAAGCCGCAGGCGACGGCCCCGGGACTCTCCCGCTTCCGATACTGCGAAATAGCCCCAAAGTGGGAGTTTTGCACCCACAAAAACAGGGCAAAAACCTGTGGGGAGAGTGGGGACAAGCCCCCCCCCCCCCAAGGTCCTGTCGCACTGCTCCCCTCAGCTTTTACTGGTTTTAACTGGTGGTCCCAGTTCTGTCACAGAGTCCCAGGATATTCTGAGCTCAGGGGTGCAGTGGGACAGGAAGTTCCACGGTGGAATCTCGTGGGTGTTGTGTTGCCTCCTGGGGTTTCAAGGTTTTTTTCCCCTTAACTTGGTTTTCTTTTTCCCTCCTTTTTTTTTTTTTTTGGCTTTTTGGGTGATTTTTTTTTTGTTTTTTTTTTTCCCCCCCCCCCCCCCCTTAGTGTGAAGTAGCCCCAACCCAGAAAAGTTGGAGCGTTGACCCAAAATGAGGATCTTAAAGGTTCTTTTTTTCTACCTGAACCGTTTCATGGTTCTTTCAACCTTCTCTTATCCCGGCTGAGAAAGGGGGAGGGAGGAGATTGGACGCAGCAAACACACACCGAAAAACAAAACCCCGGCTCCACTTTGTACTTTCCACCAAAAGTTTTTTTTTTTTTGTATTTTTTTTTTTTTTATATCAACTGATGTTAAAAAATACAGACTTGTTTTACAAGAATAGCACCATTTTTTGTTTGGTTTTTTTTTTTTTTTTTTCCTTTTGTGTCGTTATCATACAATTGAAACACTCCTGCTGGTGATACACGGAGGGGAAAGGGGACGGGAGGGGATTCGTGGTACCTGGATTGGCGACATCCCTTCGGCAGGGAAGGGTCGGTTACATTCCCACCTCCACCTGACCTTCAAAAAATAGGTCTTACAGGAAGAGAATAAATAAATATTGGTTTGATTTCGCAGCCTGCCCAGGCGTGAGGTGGTGGTCCCCGGTGGACGGGCGTGAGTCGAGGGGGGGTCGTTGCAGCCCTTCAGTGCAGAAGTCATATGAGAGAGAGAGAGAGGGAGAGAGAGAAAGAGAAGATTGAGAAGTTCCTCAGGTTCCTTTGGGGTGGGTTCAGTTTGTTGGGTCTTCTCTTTGCTTTTTTTTTCTTTTTACAGTTTTACGGCGTCGGGCTGGATTTAAAAAAACAAAACAAAACAGAACACAACTCTCCCCCCCCCCAAAAAAAAAGCCCAAAACAAAACACCACAACGAATGGCAACCGACGAACGAACGCACAAGTGAAACAATCCTTTTCTCGTGGTTTTTTTTTGTTTGTTTGTTTGTTTTTTACAAGAAGCAGACTGGGCCAATGTCTACGCCAAACTCCTGCTCGGCTCCACCAATGTCCATAGGTGCAATGTCCACGATGGGCAGGCGCGAGGTCTTCTGCGACCGGTACTCGATGACCGTCTTGCCCCACTTGCCGGTGTGTTTCTGGGGAAACCCAGAGCAAAGGTGTTATTAGACACCCTCAAACTCCCCCCCAAACCACCAGGCTGACCCCCCTCCAACTCATCATCATCATCATCATCATCATCATCATCATCTTTGTGGCGGGATAGACCCACCCCGAGAAGACCTAAAATCCAATCAACTGCTGGAGTCAGGGTGTTGTCCTGGTGTTAATTATGCTAAAACCGTCCTGGTTCATCAATTTGAATACACACCCTGCTTTTTGAAGTCTGGTTTGACAGATAAGCTGGTGGCTGGCCTGGAAAGGTGTGACTTTATACTAGAAAAGCCCAGTCAGGTTCCTCTGACATAACCCTTTTGGGGTGGATGTGTGGAGGTTCCTCCCTTGGCTGGGGACACCCTCCAGGGTCACTCCTCGGGGTTGAGAGCAGAGATGTCCCTTGGTCTGGGTCAGATCTCTACTTAATAATTATTTCTTTTTACCAGCTTTAATATAACTGCTTCAACAATTGCTTTGTTAAAATGCACTGTACTACCTCATATTGTACTCTACTAGTAGAGTATGATATTACACTCTATATTATACTGGACTATATTATACTGTATTATACTCTACTAGTAGATTTTTAGTGCTCATATTGTGTGGTGAATAGTTCTGACTGAGATCTTTTGTCTGATCATTTGTATAAAACAAATCACTCATTTTTAGAAAAAAAAAAAACCCACCCTTAAAACCCATGGGACAAAAGGGGCTCCACCACAACCTCCAAACTCCTTCAATTTAAACCACTCACATGATCCCAGGCTAAGGCTGGGATCCCAGGCTAAGGCTGGGTTTAGCTGCACCGAGACCCCTCCCTGAGAAGGGATTCCTGCCCCTGCCTCGAGACTCACCGGCGAGGCTTTGCTTTCTACCACCTCTGTCCCAGCCTCGTGCTCCCACCCCCGGCCTTGGCGCGGGCTCACCGTGCATCCGTCCTCCAGGACGCTGTAGGTGAACCTGCTGTTGCCCTCGGCGCGGATCTCCACGTCGTTGGAGCCCTGGATGAGCAGGGCTTTCTTCAGGTTGCCCGCGTCCTCGTCCATGTAGGCCACGCTGTTCTTGCAGTGGTAGGTGACGTTCTGGGAGCCCTCGGTGGACAGGAGGCGCAGGAAGGTCATCTGGATGTTGGCGGTGTTGGGGGCCAGGTCTTCGTCACCGTAGCTGAACTGGAGGGAGGGAGAAGGGACATTGGAGCCCTTGAGGGTGTTGCAACAGCGCTGTTTTGAGGGGTCTCCCATAATTTGCCTCCTTGGGTGGCTGCAGACATCCCATCCCAACTGCCCCCACCCCGAGCTTTCAATGCAACGCTCTGGGTCAGCCAGTGCCTCGTGTGACACCCGCCAGCTTCACACCAAGGAAGGACACCCCAACCCTCCAACTGGGCACCCAACGCTCCCCCCTGCTCGACCTCCACCCCCCTGCTCGACCTCCACATCCCTGCTCAACCTCCACCCCCCTGCTCGACCTCCACATCCCTGCTCAACCTCCACCCCCCTGCTCAACCTCCACATCCCCCTGCTCGACCTCCACCCCCCTGCTC